ATCTACTTTCTATTTGTGTTTATTTATACGCTACATTTTTGAGTCCTCATCGATATTCATTCCCTCAGCGTGTAAGATCATGGTGTAGGATGTTATGAGTGAATTTATGTAATAAAGATGGAAATCCCCAAAAAGTATCTGTGTGTTTTACAGCCATAGTTATAATCTGTTAGCTAATGTTTAAATCTGAAAAAATACCCTGTATTAATAACAGATTTTGGTTAGACAGTAATTGAAAAGAAGGGCATATTAGAAAACTGCCTTATACTTTCATGTTTTCAATGGTCGTTTAATTGAAGTCAATTCATGAAATCTGTATTGAATAGTTCAGTGAAGAAACCTACTAAATTTGAATATGGTGACAAGTCAGCAGTGGCATTAGTTTGGTCTTACAATTTCGAAACAGCATTTAAAACAGTCTGTATATTTGAAATGATGAATCAATCAATGTTAGACCACCACTATAAACCTACAAGCACTGGAATGTTTTTTCATTCTAGTGTGTGACTCATTAGTAGTGCGCATCCGTGACCCCCTCGTGAGGGAATCCAACATAGAACCTTTGATCGCGCGCGTGAACACTCAACCTCCAGACCGGTCAATTCATTGTTTCAATAAAACTCCGTAATCTTCACGACTATCTAATGAAAATTTTATATATACACTGAAAGTAATTTAAGTTGACATAGATTACTTATTCTTGGCCAATTAACAGTTTTCGAATATTAATATCGGTATTTAGTCTCATCTATTTCAATTGTATGTTTAAGTTAAAGAGGTACAATTTCCACTGAAAAAAATTGCGTGTTGAACATGTTTCAACATGTTTTTTTCATCTTATGATAACCAAAACGAAAGTTTCTGGAGAATTTTTGAACACATAGTTTAACCTAGAAATCCCATAGTCGAAAAGAACAAAACACACTGCATCAGACTAAAAAATCGGTAAGAATGGCTGGAGGTGCATAGGACATACATTGAGGAAAACACCAAAGTCTATCACGCCACAAGCCCTTATTTGGAGTCCTCAAGACAAAAGGAAAAGAGGAAGACCAAAGAACACACATTACGCCAAGAATTGGAGACAGACATGGAAAGAATGAACAGCGATTGGTTTGAACTGGAAAGGAATAGACAGAACACAGTAGGTTGGAGAATACTGATCGACTACCTATGCTCCATTAGGAGTAACAGGCATAATTCTCACTTCACTCAGTTCAGATCCACACATAATAAATGTATCTCGATTACAATTTACATGTAATTGTAATCTGCTAGTCAAATATTGAATTTTTCTTAACAAGACAATATAAATTAATCGAAATTGATATTCAAGAAAAGTAACATTGAAGCTTATTGTCGGATACTTATCAATGATGACATTTTATTGTCTAATACTTTCTGGCTTACAGTGGTCGTCTATCTGATATTATTTCATACATTGTACATTGTCTACAAATTGAACGATCTCTACAAAAGAAACTTGCTGATGAGTTTATTAACTTTCTCCTTATTTCTGACAGTTCTTTCTGAGGTATATTGATAATTTTCACAGAGAGTGAAGTCAAGACCTTTTTCAATACTATTGTAAGTAAAATGTGAATTACATGGATATGGACATAAGTTAGCTAATCAAACGTTTAGTGTGTGTACTGAAACTAAACTGAACAACAGTTTTTCATACTACAATCGTGGATTTTCATTTATTCATTGTACTTTCATTGAGATAATGAATCGAACAATGCTAGACTACCACTAGAAATCTGCATGCACTGGACTACACTTTCCTTTCAGTATGGAACTCGTCAGTAATGCGCACCCATCATCTCCGTACGAGGGACTTGAACCCAGAACATTCGGTCTCACACGTGAACACATGATCTCTGGACCACTGAGCCTGCATCTAACGGTGCTAATGTCCAATTTTAATCAACCTATGATTTTGTGCCTACACTCGACAGGGTTGAACAGACAGAACAGCTTCCAGTGATTCTAAATTTCTGATTGTGGTTTAATAATGATCGAGTATTTGTTGTAAAGCTATTTCCAGTGACACATATATTGTTTCCTCCTACTGTACACAATGTTGTAAGATAATGTAGTTAGATTATATATAAAATCGACGATCAGATTTAACATTTATTCTCTTTACATGATGTAGTCAACAGATTACAGGTGTAATTTCAGAAATACTTCATTATTTCATCACTAGGCATCACTAGGTAGTCTTGTGTTCCGTTGATTGACTTTAGATAATGCAATATGTGTATAACTACTAATAAAGCGAAACTACGTTTTTATTGAATGCGTAAAAAATATTGATTTTTTATCGATTGGTTTACTCAACAATCTCACAGTATTTCCATTATTATCTTGTGAATACTTTCAACTTGTTCATTTCAGAAAATTTGATTTGTTTCAGTTTCAAAGTAGAATGTTGATCACTGCATTTTCCGATCCTGTTTATCAATAGAGCGTTTGCTTAGCTGTCTATCAGTTGAAGCTAAGTTCTGTCACTCAATTAGGTTTCCACACAGTGAGACAGTAATTTTATAGGTCAATGTTTCGTAAGGCTACATTTACACAAATTAGAAGAATTTATTAGAACAAATTGGGACACCTTATCACGTTTTAAACCTTTCACTTACTTTGATCCAGTTCTAGTCAGAGTGTATGTCAGCAGGATGGTTTTAGTATTTAATTAATTTGACCTTCAGACAGTTGTTAGCCACTACAAAATCCTTTTCACATCACCTAATTTAAGGAGCTGGGCAAAGTTATTAATCGTCATATTATGAAACCCAACGGGTGAAACGTGTATAGTTGTGTGATTTTAACAGATGTACGAGCAATAATGATTAGGCTAATGAAAACTGAGACAGTTTATATGTAGAAACGCAACGATGGTGTTTAAAAATTGATCGCTGAACAAACATTTCTTATCATTCAATTATGTGCACCTGAGGTCATCTCATATCATTTGAGAAAATGTTGATGAGTTTTACTTGGCGTCATTATGTTGAATGACAGACAGTTTACATGGCTATGTGAATTTTTACGTTAATTATATATTTATACAGTAAAAACTGTCAGCTTTTATGAAAAGAAACATATATGAGATGCTAATGAAATCAGTCAGTCAGTTAGTTGAATTTAACGTTGAATCTGACACATGTATACAACAGTTCAAGTTAATAGAACCAGAAGCTAAACAAGAACATCGTTGGATGTCGTCTCAATGGCTTAGAGTATAGGCGTTCGCGCGACATATCGAAGACTCGGAGTTCGGTCTTCGTGAGGAGCGGATTTCATGGATACTCACTGCTTAAGAGTCCCATACCAGGACGAAACGGCCTTACAGTACTTCCAGGTCTCTAATAGTCGTCTAACACTGATCGGTTCACGACTTTAGTGTAAAACGGCAATCTCCGTAACTCTATAGTGAAAAATAAAAACCACTGAAAATTTGACAAGAGTGAATCACATAGGAAATACAAAAAATCAAACTGAATGTATGTTTAATAGTGAATAGGTTTTGATTGGACGTTATAGCTGATAGAGTTATTCTATATCAAGTATTCGATAATGTTAGGGTTGTTAGATCCTCAGAACTCGCTCGATAATTGTCTTTATTTTGGATTTTGTTCATGGACTTATCAGTTGACCTTGAGATTTCATTTCCCACCAAGAAAATACATGGCTGTGATTGGCTGCCGTGTATTTTAGTGTGCTGTTTTCTTAACTGTCCCAAGGACGTTTCTATGATGGACAAATAAACGAGAGTTGTGTGCTTGATTGTAGGGTGATTGCTGGGTGTTTGTAGAATATACTTTCGACGCTTACAAAGCCTTCTGTTTACAGCTTGGGATTCAAGGTAGCCTATCTGGACGCTGGTAATTGTCTCGTTCGCATTTATCGACTAAGGTGAACTCGTAGTAGCTTCAAGCATACCTAGTGACGAACTTATCAGCTAAGAAGTGAATAGATTGAATGTAACCCATTTCAATCATTGGATTGAGTAGTTAGTTTCTTGACCGAAACATATTTTTTGTGATCCTATTGAAAAGAATTTAAAAGTGATCAGTAATCCATGTTGTCTTTTAAGGATCGGATTTACTGTATCCCATATTCTGTTAACAAGTATGTGGATCGCGAAAACCTTTAATCCAAAGAGGAAATTCTTTCTCCTGCGACTCCAATGTGATCAATTTTTTGAGTCATGTTTTTAGAAAAAAACAAACATATTTCCTAAAATTCTGTGAATTGTTTATCAATAAATTATAGTCAGTCTTCAACTATATATGTAGTTCTGGCACATCATATAAAAATATTTTTCTAATCTAATGTAATAATTTGGGTACATGTAGACATACATCGTACATACATCAGTTCCCTGGAATATTATTCAACCATGGTCTACAAAATATTTATTTTAAATAAATTGGTCTTTTAAACTTTATCCTGGCTGTGAATTGTAAAATTATTATGAGTACTATACGAATAACTAGGAAAATACAAATATAAAGCACATTTGCAGTGTACTGGATACTACTCACAAGTAGCATATCAGAAGTATGTAGCATAACATTACCTAAAAGTTTCTATCAGAAAGCAGATTGAACGGAGATCAAAATGCATAGAGTGATTGATGTAGTTCAAAGACCAGAAGTCAGTCAATAATCTACTTGTTTAGTAAATGTATATAAATTGTGACTTCTCCTGTTTCGCCCTCTTCGTCCTTCACAATAGTAGTAATAAATGAACTCATTGTGAGTAATGATCACATGTAAAAAGCAACCACACATTATTTATCGATTTTTACTGGTCAAATGAAAACAGACGACACCAAGGTCAAGCTGAGTCACAGCAGTAGACAATCAAGCTAACAAATGATTGATCAATTGTGAAATCGTAAACATAAGTGAGGTCTGTAGTGAGTTCTATTTAATTAATTGATTGATTAATTAATTGAAACAATATTTTATCATTTTGATAATAATATGTTTGAATTATTTATTTTATTTCAGGAAATCTCTGTACAAAATACTGATTGTAGTATGGTTACAATTGGTATACCACCTGAATGTGAGTATTTTTCTCATTATTATTTCTTGTGATAATTATCTCAAGTCACTACTATCGTCTATTTTGATGTTCAGAAAATGTGTAAACAAATTATTTAGTTTGAATTGACTGCAAGTTACACCAAGAAAGAGTTCTGTGTTAGATAAATGTTGTATACACTGAGAAATAGCAACAAAGCATAAATATTACAAACAAAGAAATACTTCTAATGATTATTGACCGAAATACGTTTCGTAGTTGGTGTTTAAATATCATGGTAAAAATATAATATACCAATGACCTTCAGAGGCCTATTAGCCAACCAGGAAACGTTTATTACTCTTAGAACGATCAACAGCTAAAAGCCGTAAAAGATAATGGGAATGATAGCTCTGAACAGTCAGTCATAACATGTTGAACTATTCTCTTCAGTGGAAGGAAAAGACTGAATTTACCTATACAAAGTCGGCCCAGAGTGACGAGTTAGACTTATCACACAACAGACTTTTCGTCATCAACTAAGATAATTCTCAAGGAGTAGTGTTGTGGTGCGAGCTACTTATAAGTAGCATAAGACGCGAGTGAAAACGTAATGTCTGGCAGCAGAAGATTGGGGAAGATCAAGCAAGGAAGAGTAGGAAAACAGTGGAATTTGTATGAAACGCATGAATAGTGAAATGTCAGACAATGGATTGATGATTGATTGAAGATTTGCAAATTAACGATCACGATATGGTTTTCCTATTTTACTGAGTCACTCTGTAATTTTCGTTAAACACAATTTGGTTGCCCTCACCTGTGTTAACCTTCACTACAGTGTTACGTATTGAGAGTAAATCTGAAGTTCTGAGTTGAGTTTTTATCACAAAATAACATTAGATATGGGGCAAGGCTCTGTCATTCTGTTGTTTACAATCTTGAGATACTTGTAGTTGAGACTTAGAGTGAGAGTTAGGAATGGAATGTATTATCTAGCTTCAGTAAATAGCTTTGACAAACACACTGAATCACAACAAGTACTTTAGCATGTAATCCAGCTTTGGCTGAATAACTTTTTGAATCCACATTTTGATTGTATATGAGGCACTTTTTTATTGATTTAATGAATTTTAGTGTTCATGTAGTGCTACTGTTTACGTCATGAGTAACAATAATAGCAAACAAATTGTCTATCGTTGCATTCTGAATTTTGCGAAAAATACATTAGATATTATCTTAATTCTAATTGGTTCACTCAAGGCCATCAATATATGGTACTTTTACCTAATTCAACTAATAACTAACGCGACGCACCATCAAAATAGATTAGTTTAGTACAATCACTTATCATTTTCTCAGAAGTTATACAATCGTATTTATAGGTATTTTTTCGTCACATCTATAGTAATCTGGAGGGTTTTAGACAATTTAGCAAAGTACACAGATTTTTAAATTGTGTTGATAGGTTGGGATAGTTGGGATCCATCATCAAGGCTTGTCTGCATTCTTGAGAAATTAGGATCTGCGTCATCAAGCTGCATAGTTTGAAATCCTACTGCTGACAGACATGATATTGTCATGTGAATACATCTCAGTCCTACAAGAGATTCATTTGTTTGAATACGGTAACTGTTATTATAGTTATTATATCAAACAATTCGGTTGCCCTCACCTGTGTTCTCCTTCACTACAATAATAACGGTTAATAAATAGTTGTGAAAATAAATTGTAAACAAAATTAGAATTTCAAAATTTATAAGCTAATGATCAAATCTGTCAGAAACTGTTGGGTATGTTAGATCCGCACAATTATTTTTAACAGTATTTAAGACGTCATCGCACTCCTTCTACTTTAATGAGACATAAATCTCTTGAATCGAGTGCAGAGACGAGCAACCAAATGGGTGATAGGGTTGAAAAATAAGCCTTTCGAAGATAGACGCCAGCACTTGGGGTTATTTCTACTGAGCTACAGGAGAATCAGAGGCGATCTGACTATGGCGTACAAAATATTAGGCACGCCAAAGCATCTTTATCTTGGATTTATTTCATGGACCGATCAGTTGATCTTGAGATCACATTTCTCACCTGGACAATCCTTGAATGTAATTGCTTACTGTGTGATTTTAGTATGCTATTTTTATGACTGTCCCAAGGATTTCTCTATAAAGTAAAAATAAACACAATTTGAGTGCTTGGATTCATTGTGTGCTGGCTAGGTGTTTGTAGAATACACTTTCTACGCTAATATCAAGACTTCTGGCTGGTACAGTTAGGACCATCGTATCACAGTAGCTTACCTGGACGCTGGTTGATTGTTTTGTTCTCGTTATTCGACTAAGGTGAACTCGTAATATTTTGGGGCACAGTTTTGGAGGTTTGTGTGTTTACACATTTGAAATCATCAATCAGTCATTGTTACTAGATCACCATTAGAAACCTTTAAGCACTGGACGGCCGTTTCATCCTGGTATGGGACTCATCAGCAGTGCACATCCACGACTCCTACTCCTCGCTGGATTCGAACCCGGGACCTTCGGCCTTGTAGGCGAACGCCTAACATCGACACTGGGCCGACATCCAACGGTGTTAATGTCTAAATCTGATTGATCTAGGGATTTTGCGCGACCTCACCCATTTGTCTTTGGTAGTTACGAAAGAATTATAAACTAGTTTAAGACCATTGAAGAATGAACAACTGAGTGTTCTGATTTTGTATATAAATATTAAGTTATAACTTATGGATTGTAATCACCACTGATGTACATAGGATCTTCATTTGCATTACTTTTTTGGGTTAACATTTCTGACTGTATGTAAGTTTTTGAAGGAGGCCACTGGTGAAGAAGAGTGGATAGATGTATCAAAATTAAGTGTTTGACTAAATTTTGTAATCCTTTAGAAAGTCAAGCTGGGTAATGTTTGAAAATGCGCTTTGAAAAAGTTTACTTTGTGTGGCCAATATATTTCGCTCCACATGATTAAATAAACTGGTAGATACACGGTAATTCGATTCGGAGCAGCAGCTTATCCTTCACATAACTACGAATCATAAGTCGACTAGAAAATCAGTGATCCGAAGTTCTGTCCAGCAGAACGTTTGTCTCAAGTATCTCAACAGTTCATATTTCAAAATTTCTGCTGCCAAGCCTTCTTCTTCTTTAATGCTTACGGCCGTAGTTCACCTTGTTGGTTCGAATTCAGATTTTTCTTTATAAATTTAGGCGTTTACCCTTTTTTATTCATTATCTATTATAGTTTATGAAGTTCAATATCACTCTTATTCTCTGTACATATTCGTCTTGCGTTTGTACACAGAGAAATGATCAGGTTTCTCTTTTGCTTCAGTGAGACCCAACTTTGGGAGTGTATGTATATATCGGCTGTTCCATGTTGATCGTTGTATAGAATCGACAGGTTACGTTTTTTACCGAAAGATCTAAGATTTGAAATGCTGAATCAAACACGGATTTCATTGTGAAGCTTTTATTTCAAGCAAACCATGAACTGATTTTAGACTAACTCAAATGAAGAAAATGGAAGACTACGCACAGATGCATAGAGTGATTTTGATGTGAAAAAGGAAACAAACAGATAGTGGTAAACAACGAAAACTTAGTTTGAGAACATTGTCGCATCTAACTTAATGTATGCTTAATACTAATATTTATTTTTGTTCCTATCTTATGATGTAAATCTTAGGCTTTCTGTTGATGCATGATGAACAGTCATACTCTGTTTTACTACAAAATTCTTGTAACTTGAATACAACCACCATGCTCCCTCCACCTTAAGCGGCTAGTCTAGGCATAAATGTGCCTTGCGGTCTTGTTGAATGTATATAGTTATTTTTATGTTCTTTTTTCACTAATCGAATCAGGAGTAAACCGCGTAGTTTTCCAGTAGACTACTCTTCTCTCTCCTTTTATAGCCTGTCTGGTGACAGATTACTTTACTGCCCTCCGCTAAGGCCCTTTTAATCATAACTGAACTCACACACTACTAGTTTCAAAGTTAGATAGATAGCTTATCTCGTCAAGACCTTTAAAATAGACTGAGACAAAATGTTATTTCCTCTGTTTTAGTGGACCGATGGTTCAAGGATGTAATAGATTTCATAACAAACATTATTATTCTATGTTCCATATCTCTACACACTTGTTCAACTTACAACTAATCAATCAATAACTCATCTTTCGGAACTATTGTTTCGATATCATGAGAATAAAAAAATCATAATCAACTAAATTCAATCAGTTATAAGATAAACATAGAATTCTGCACACTCGTTTATTTGTGAAATGGAATTGTATTTACTTACTTAATTACGCCTGTTACCCCCAATTGAGCAACGGCCGCTGACCACTTTTCTTCAACCAACTCTGTCCTGGGCTTCTCTCTCCAGTTCTGTCCGATTTTTGTTCGTTCTTCTCATATCTTTCACTAATTCTCTGCGTAATGTGTTCCTTTGCCTACCTCTTTTCCTTTTACCTTGAGGGTTCCAAGTGACGGCTTGTCTTGTGACGCAGTTTGGTGCTTTTCGCACTGTGTGTCCTATCCACTTCCACCACTTCTTCCTGATTTCCTCCTCCACTGGAATCTGGTTTGTTCTCTCCCACAGTAAGTTGTTGCTGATCATCTCTGGCCAACGAATCCACAGTATTTTGCGTAGAAAACTGTTAATAAACACTTGTACCTTCTGGTTGATGGCTTTTGTGATTATCCAAGTTTCCGCTCCATAGAGTAGAACTGTCTTGACATTTGTATTGAAAATCGTGATTTTGGTTTTGGTTGAAAGTTGTTCGAAGTTCCTGACATTTTTCAACTTTAGTAATGCATTCCTTGCTTTGCCGATCCGCGCCCTCACATCTGCATCGGATTCACCTTGATTGTCGATGATGCTGCCCAGATATGTAAAGGTGTTAACGTCCTCCAAGGCACCTCCATCAAGAGTGATTTGATTGGTACATATTGTGTTGCATCAGAGAATTTCGCGTTTCCCTTTATGTATGGTGAAACCTGCTGCTGCAGAGGCTGCTGCT